AACCCACATATGCATGAGGAGAACATGCAAAAACTACATGCAGAAAGATTCTGGACCAAACCCAGAGCCTTCTTGCTGCAAATGACCAATGCTACAAACTGTGTCACCATGCAGCCAAGAAGTGAACAATATTCTTTATTTCTAACCCAAACCTTGTCAGGCAAGGGAAAAAAAAATATTACAAATTTCAGTCCTAATATCCAAGTACATATTACTTTCATCTGTTAAGTCTTATTTAAATTGTTTTGTTAACACAGACTCTCTGAGCCAGACCTTTAACCCCACACTGCTACTCGGGCGCCGCACAATGGCAGCCCACTGCTCCCCAAGGGAATGGATTAAATGCAGAGGTAAATTGCTCCATTGTGAGATCAATAAAGTTTGATTATTATTATTAAAAAGTCCCTTTTATAAGTGTACAAGTAGATACACACACACCAACACTTATAAAAAAGGAAATTATGTAGGCTGCTGTATCTGTGGGAAGAGATATACTAGCCTCGTGAGACCATCCTGATCTCGCGAGCTTTCAAGATTTCACTCGCTAATCAGTCTGGCTACTTTCCGTTAAAGAAAATTTGAAGTCGTTCACCAAACGAACGTCCAATCAGCATTGGCTTTGAGGCGGGTTGAGGTGTGACGCAGCGAGAAGCGCGACAGTTCAGTCTAAAGAACATGGCGGCTTCAGCCGATGAAACTAGCGTTAGCGTGGCTATCGAGCAAGTTTTATCGGAATTACACTGTATTTCTTCACTGAAAGAAGAGCAAAACACTGCTCTGGAGGATTGTCTCAGAGGAAAATATGTTTTTGCTCTTCTCTCGACTGGTTTCGGCAAGAGTTTGATCTATCAATTGGCTCCTCTTCGTCGTCGCTCTGTTACGTCATATGCTTTGTTGATCTGATTGGTTTATTTGGCCCATCTATCACCAACATAGGCCAATCAGCTAACCAGTGTTTTCGCTCCTTCCCAAAATTACTTCAACGGAAGGTTTCCAGATGGATATGCGGAGCAAATCAATCTGGCGGAGTCAGGTTAGAGATATAGACCCCTTGAATGTATTATATATTAAAATTATATACTATAATAACTGTAACAATAAGTGCTGCAGGAAAAAGTCAAATTCCTTTTGTTGGTCATGTTTGTAATAAACATTACAGAATATTTAAACAGACATAAATGGGAGAGGAATTAATTCAAATTCATTAAAAAATCTATGTTTTATGCTTGATTTTGATTCTTAATTTCTCTAAGGACAAGGGGTATGCATAGGTCCGATTTTGAGCTTATGCAGGGCCTTGGATATCTATCCCTTTAAACTTTGTAGCATTTGGTCCCATTGCAGAAACATGTTTTAATGAGATGGACCAAGACAAATTTGGCAAACAACTGTGAAGTAGAAGGAAAATTATGATTTTCACATTTTTAAACAAGCAATATCATTAATTTAGATAAAAGACTTATGTGCATAATTTAAATTATGATTAAAGGTACAGTGGAGGATTTATACGAATTTCTGAAAAGGCCCTCCCTCTTCACTTGAAAAAAAAAACTGCACATGCACACCCTGTACCCACTGCGGAGAGGGTAATGTCTATTAAACGTGTGTGAGAGCATCCATGAGCCTATTTCTCCTCGTGCATGCTCTGTTTAAAAGTTTCTGTTTGCATCACTCATACAAGCTTACTTTCCAAAACAAGATTTGCATTTTTTCCACTGTCAGTATCACCACTGTTAAGGGAAAATGCAGACGAGCACATAGAAGGGCCTTACGTAAACATATCACCAGAATGAATGACAATTAGGAGGACCACTTATTTTGATGATCCACTCAGAAAAAGAACATCCTCCACTATACCTTTAAGGTAATTTACTAATAATGGCCTAGTCAAAGTTTAAACTTAAACACAGCTGAGAACCATAGGCAAAACTTGAAAATGGACACACTGTCATGAGGACTCTATTTAACTAGAAACAGACGTTGGGGGAAAAAATCCTTTATTGAATAGAAACAGATGTACCACGCATTTTCTGTTTTTTGGGTTGTTTCTCTTTTAAACAAAGCTTTATCATTTGTTTATGTATAAAATGAAATTCCCATAAAATTCTTCATAGTTTTGCACGGTAACCAAAAACACAGACTGCAGTGAAAATAATAATGATAAAATAAAGAAAGTATAAAAACTTCTTGAGACACTGCTGTGTTTAGGGAATGTCCTTATTTCTCATCAAATTGTTTTTAATCATTTTTCTTATTAAATGAGTCAAGTTTCTGTTTTTTTAAAATGGTCCACATGCAAACCAAAAGAGATGTAAAAAAGTTATAATTACATTTACCAAATCAAATCCTGAGTGAAATGGTAAATACTTATATAGTGCCTTTATTCAAGTTAGGAGACTTGACCAAAGCGCTTTACACTACATTCACGCACACACTGATGGTGGCAAGCTACATTGTAGCCACAGCTGCCCTGGGGCTCACTGACAGAAGCGGGGCTGCTGTACACTGGCGTCACCGGGCCCTCTGACCACCATCAGTAGACAATGCAGGTGAAGTGTCTTGCCCAAGGACACAACGACACTGAAAGTCAACCCTTCGATTTCAGGGCAAACTCCTACATCCAACGGCACTGTCGCCCCATAGTGTTCCCCAATCTGAATAATATACTTTACCCACAAAAGATGAATGAAAGCAAAAGGTAGCTGAATGATTAAAATTTCAGGTCAGAGGGTTTTAGCTAATTGACCTGAAATCAGATTTTAAAAAAGCAGCCACAACCTCCTATAAACTACATCAGTCTTTTCTCAACATACACTGTAAAAAAAAAAAGTAAAAATTACGGTAAAATACCGGTAGCTGCGGTTGCCAGGAAATTACCATAACAAAAAGAGAAATCCGTAAAAGACAATACGGTTCATTGTTTTGGTAACCATAAGTTTTACAGTTGAAAACAATGTTTTTCACTGTATAATTATTGTATAAAAAATAAATACCATATACCCTTGAACTGTAATGTCCTGTGAAAAAAATAGCCCTTTCCATTGATTTTTACGTTTATCTGCCGTAAAACAACAGATACATCACAGTTGTTTTACGGCAATTTCTTGTTTATTTTACAATGTGGAATAAATATTATTACGGTAAAGAACTTTTAAAACAATTGAAAAGTGGAAAACCTTTTTTAAAGTCTAAGTTAATAAAAACATGGCAAAATAGTAAAACATTTTATTATAAACAGTTCAAATTTACAGTAAATTCCTGGCAACCACAAATACTGTACAATACATGTGAAAGACCTGTAAACCTATAGATTTACAGGTATAAACTTATAGATTTACAGGTATAAACCTATGGATTTACAGGTATGAACCTATGGATTTACAGGTATAAACTTATAGGTTTACAGGTATAAACCTATGGATTTACAGGTATAAACCTATGGATTTACAGGTATAAACTTATAGGTTTACAGGTATAAACCTATAGATTTACAGGTATAAACGTATAGATTTGCAGGTATAAACCTATGGATTTACAGGTATAAACTTATAGGTTTACAGGTATAAACCTACAGATTTACAAGTATAAACGTATAGATTTGCAGGTATAAACCTATGGATTTACAGGTATAAACTTATAGGTTTACAGGTATAAACCTATAGATTTACAGGTATAAACGTATAGATTTGCAGGTATAAACCTATGGATTTACAGGTATAAACCTATAGATTTACAAGTATAAACTTATAGATTTACAGGTATAAACCTATGGATTTACAGGTATGAACCTATGGATTTACAGGTATAAACTTATAGGTTTACAGGTATAAACCTATGGATTTACAGGTATAAACCTATGGATTTACAGGTATAAACTTATAGGTTTACAGGTATAAACCTACAGATTTACAAGTATAAACGTATAGATTTGCAGGTATAAACCTATGGATTTACAGGTATAAACTTATAGGTTTACAGGTATAAACCTATAGATTTACAGGTATAAACGTATAGATTTGCAGGTATAAACCTATGGATTTACAGGTATAAACCTATAGATTTACAAGTATAAACTTATAGATTTACAGGTATAAACCTCTAGGTATAAACCTAGAGGTTTTTCCTGTAAATCTATAGGTTTGATTAAATTGTTTTGTTTTCTGCCTTTCCGAGTCTCTGTGAGTAGATACTTTTCCCACACAAACTGTTGCATCTGCTGACATTAAAGTATTTTGAATTATTATTTGCATAATGTTGCTGCCTACTTAGAGGCTTATTGTCATATACTTCAGCTGAACTGATTACATAAACAAATGAGACAAAAAGTAAAATCCTAAAGACACAAAAGACGTCTAAAGTACTTTCCATATTAGTTTTAATTTGATGACAGGTCTAAAAAGGGTAACAAACTTGGAATGTATCTTTTTCTGTAGCTTTCCTCCACATGGTGAAAACTTATAGTTTTTCCAAAAACGTGACTCAGTAATGAAGCCTGTTGATGGAATCACCCTTCTGTCTCCATCTAGCGGCCACAAGCAGCTATAGCATCTGTCACAGCCTGCGTGAACGGGATCCAAACAATGTAAAAAAAAAAAAAAGAAAAGAGAAAGATGTAGAGAGGAGGGATACTGTGTTTAGATAAACGGTAAACTGTTAAAGAAATGAGGCTTCAAGTTGTTTGGAGTTTAGAAGATGTTTTCCTAATGAATCACCAGACAGAAGATCTCAGCGGTTTAAACCCCTGAATTATTATGTTGCAATAAAGCAAAATGCCAAGGTAGTTTTTAGCTTTATACTGTGCTATTAAGAGTGTTTGTTTTGATTTCCTATATCATTTATTCAAGCAGTTCTTATAGGAACCCCATGCCTATTCTTCATAAAAAACAAACAAACACAAAAACAAAAAAACAAACATGTTTTTCTCCATCACCGGCATGTTAAAGCGCGTAGCTCCGGCCTCTGCGGGCGGGGTCAGCTGTGGGCGGGCACAGTTAAAATCCAACTTCTTTGGAACAAGAACAATTTCCATCTTTTGTTGAGTTCCTGAAGCCGAAGAGCTCCGTATTCTCCTTGCTGAGATGGCTTTGGATGGGAAAAGTGCGGTGGTGACTGGAGCAGCCATGGGCATAGGAAGAGCTGTGGTGGAGATTCTCCTGAAGAACAAAGCCAAGGTGAGAGCTTGCAATAAATACCGTCTGAACTCCTGAAGAAGGAGGGACTTCAAAGATAGGGTAAAACCACAGGCTCATTAGGAGAAAACTAATTAGTTTGTCTCAACTAAGCTTTATTAAAGCATCTTCATATGCAAAACAAGTCTTCATGTGTGGTAAATTGATGTTTTCTAAGTACTTGCAGTCTTGGTTTATGATGATCCAGCCTGTGTTGGTATTATACCCCCAAAAATCAAAGTCTGGCTGACCAAATAAACTAACAGTTAGAAAGGAACTTTGCATTATGAAATATCTGAGTTTGTAAATTAGAAATACACAGCTAACTGTAAACCCTGTGCAGAACACCAACATCATTTATTAAGGCTATAATTAGTGCTTTAAGCAGTCAGACTGGTTCTGTTGTGTTTTTGTTTTATGGGTTTCTACCTTAGATAACATCTTCATTTTCAGTTTCAAACTCAACAATTTTCAGGAGATTGTTTAGTAAACACATTTAATTTCACAAAGTTGGTTTATACAGTTTGACACAAAGGTATCATTATAAATGTAAATTTTTCTCCCGTTTTTACGACCATTTCTACATTTTGTTGTGTATAACAGCTAACCTCCTTGTAGTTTTATTGCAATGTAGAACTCACACAAAACTTACTTTTCAACTTCCTCTTAAATTCTGAGAAAAAATATTAGGTCATCTTCACATTTATTTCAATTCGAATTCTGAAAAGTGTGGTGTGCTTTTTACTCAGCCCCTTTAATCTGATTCTTCTCAATAAAATCCAGTCTGGAGAATGGAAAAAGCAGAACAGAAGCCCACACCTTTTAAATGGAAATATAACTAAACTAACAGGCCAAGCAAGAAGGACAATATTCCAGTATGCAGCGCAGAAGAGGAACTTAGGGGGAGCTGCAGAGATTGAACATCTGTTGTGAACATCTGTTGATAGCCCAAGTATTAGTGATGCACTCCACACATCTGTCCACTAAAGAAAAGTCGCAAAACTCAGTCACAAATGTAAGAAGTCCAATTAAAGATTATTGCTAGCCCTGTGGAGGTGCCGTGTTTGGACACTTCAATTTGAAATCAACCTGAACACACTACCTACATAGCAAAATATGGTGGTGGCAGCATCATTCTGTGGGAAGATTTCTCTTTTGCAAGGGCAGAGAGGAGTTTTAGAGTTGATGGGAATATGGATGTTTTCCAAATGTATTAATGTAAAAAGGTCTGAAATACAAGTTAAATGAACTTGACATTTTCCAACCTTAATCTTAATTTCTCCAGCCTTATGGCTGCTGTGATGACAAATTGCAAAGATAGCTACACTAATAAACTCTTTAAACGGTTTTCTGTTTGTTTGTACCCAATTAAATCGTAAAACATCAGTTAGCCACAGTGATTAAGCCCATAAACTGTTGGGAAATTAATTGAGTAAGGTTTTTTTTTTTCCATCCTTCAACCAGAACATGCTATGGCTGATGATGGCAAGCAACAAGTGGCAGAAACCTCCAGCTTTCCAAGTCAGAAGTCCTGTTTAAGATAGTTTAGGGTCTCTTAAGCCAGTTTGTTTCAGAACGTTTTGTATTTCATCCCTCAGGTTTTCAGGACCACATTATCCTTTAAACATCTGTTTAAATCTGTACACAACTCTTATGTAGAAGAAAGAAGGACCAATTATTGGAGGGCTGGGGGAAAGCTTTAGGTAACAGGTTTGTTTTTTTCTGCTAGAAGAAAAATCTTGTTTCAATAATGATCCCAGTATTGATAAAGAAAGTGTTTTGGTATATTAGCAGGTCCAATTGGAATTGAAATGGAAGAGATGGAACGGTTTGAGAATAACCACAGAGATTATATTACCTAATTTTAACTAATCACAACACTGGTGGAGACTTCCATTGAGCAATTGAACTAGGGAAGGTTTCTGCTCCTGACTGACATTCTTCTGAAACCAAGAAGACCCCAGACCTTTAAATACTGCTTTAAAGCGTTCTTAAATAATAGGCCTAAAATTTGAAATCAGTCGATGAACTCATGGCTTGGGTCATTGTGGCGATTCCCATGATTCCATCAACTAGAAGCACCTCATTTCTAACCCTTAAACTTCGTCCCATTTAGTGCAAAAATGTGAAGTTGAAGAAAAAGGATATATGGTTCAATATTTATTGCAAATAAATGTCCGCTACATCTAAATAAAACCATTCACTGGTCAACCTGTTAGAAAATTTGCAAGTAAAATAAATTCAGGAAACTTTACTTTGATGTTATGTAAATCATTTCCATGTATTTACATGGATAGTTGAAAGGAGTTATAACCTGAGGTGAAACTACAACCATTACAGGAAAGGTTTACCTACAGAAACATAAACAGCTTAATGCTCCTTTAGAGACCACAACTAGTCATTATTTCACTTCTGTTGATGTGCAGCACTTTGGTGGACCTTGTCTGTTAAACGCTATAAAGAGCTATATTAACTAAACAAGCCCTCGGAGAGTGTAGATCTCCAAGCAGCGAATTTTGTCCCATATTGTGACAAACACCTATAGCTAAAACTCGCACATGATCTGGATAATTATGATTTTTTCCCTGACATGAAGCTCACATTTGCCAACAGTGTCCTTAAAATCCTTTCATACGTTTATAAATAAAGCACAGCTTGTGTCTGCAGCCTCTGGTGTTTGTTCTGCTCTCACCTTTCCTGTGTTTTTGCATTCTTTGTCTTCAGTATAATACCTCTGGACTGATTCTGAAGCTGTCAATAGTCACTGCTACCACTCTGTGGTTTAGGGGGGAACTGCTTGATTGCCAAATAATGTTAAACAAAACATCCTGCATACAGATTCATCCGTTTTTACCAACATTTTTCATAAAAATGTAATTAAAATCCATTATTAACTTGTCAAGTTATCCTTTACACAGACAGACAGAAGGAAAAAAGAACATACACAAGCTCGACTACAGACATAACCTCCTTAATAAAGCGGGAGGATAAAATGTCGACTAACACAAATACAAAAAACCCACCCAAAAAACGGGATAAAATAAATGAATAAAATCACTTTCATTCAGCAGAAGTAGACATAGATGGCTGACAAATAACCAGTAGGACTTAAAACTGTACTGTAAAGTGAAAAGTATCCAGGTACACACCATAACTGCGTTTTTTTCTCCACTGGTTTTGTGAAATTTTACCCTTTAATACTGCCTCTAATCAGTGTATGTTCGCCCCATTTACAGAGGAATGTTCTGTTTGTTTATCCACCAAGTTTCACAATTCAGTGGGAAGCCAAACTGTGTTCTGAAACACTGGATCTTTTTACACTCCACGTTTTTTTTTTTTTTTTTTTAATGAAAGAAGAGAACAAACTGTGTCATGAAGACGGGATCACATGCAGACAGCTCAGACCAAATTATGGAGTGGCACAGCACTCCACAAATCTGATCTTTATGGATGAGTGGACACAGTGGACACTAAATTAAAAATAAAAAGTCCTGCTTACCACCTTCTCTGTAGGTACCAGTGGAAGAAGTTATCTCAGATGAGACCAAAATTGGTCATTTTGTAGAGCTGGTCAGAGATCATAGGGATATAAAAGGAGCCAAATACAGAACAAACCTGGAGGAAGATCTGTCCAACAGGACAGTGACCCTCGATGTACAACCAGAGCTGCAGTTAAATGGGTCAAAGCATGTGGAAATGTTAGAGTCTAAGTCCAAACCCAAATCTAACGGAGAATCAGTAGTACGACAAAATATATCTGTGTTCACTCTGTCCAACCTGACAGAGTTTGGGCTGTTTTGCAAAATGGATGAGCAAACTTTTCAGTACTAAGATCTGCAAAGCTGTGGGGGAAGAAACACAAATCAAAACATTGGCTCTGAATCCTAGCAGATATGTTTTTGTAAAAAAGTAGGGGGGAAAAAAATCAGTATTTTTTCCACTGCTTCACAATGATGCTCTGTCCTGAGTGTAGCCTGGGGTTCTTGCATCACCTTGACTTTGAAGAACTACCAGGTGCACATACTCTGTTTTGGTACACAGTGAAGTGAATGCACGCTTTCAGTCATAGTAAAGAGCAATTTTAAGGTCCTTATATCATTCGAGGGTAAAGCCTAGAACCCTCCTTTCTCTTATTCCTTCTGCATTCATGCATGGTCCCTTTCATCTCTTACACACAACGCATTACTGAAAGAAAATCACAATAAAAAACATCTAAGTGGATTTATTTTCATATGTTTGGAAGTGTCAGCTCATATGATGTATGCTGTAATGGAGAATAGACACCAAAATCACAGTTTTTCTTTTACTTTCCATTAAAACCATTCAAGCCCAGACGGGTGTCTCTTTTCTCTTATTTAACAAAATATAACCAACACAATAAAACCACAATGGTCACAGAAATAACTTCAATCTGAGAAAAGTTATGAAAAATTAAAATTCCATGAAAATGACCAAATGAGAGTCAGACATTGCTTTTCAACTGTTCTTAAACAGAATGATTTTAAACAATAAACTAATAAAACAGGCAAGGAAAAACATTATGTTATCCCTAAAAAACCCCCCACAGAAAATAATGTCCCCAAATGGACATTTTAAACAAAGGCATGTCCACTAATTAGCATAGCAGGTGTGTACAATCATGTAATTAGTCAATGGGACTATATATAGGGCTATATGGAAGTCTGTGCTGTATGGTGACCTGGTGTGTACTGCACTCAACCTGGACCAAATGAAGCAAAGGAAAGAGCCATCTCAGGAGATAAGGAAGAAAATTATAGACAAGCATGTTAAAGGTTAAGGGCTAAAAGACCATCTCCAAGTAGCTGGATGTTCCTCTGACTACAGCTGCATGTTACTCAGAAATTTAACATGCATTGAACTGTAGCCAACATTCATGGATGTGGTCGTAGGAGGAAAATTAATAACAAATTGAAGCCTAAAATATTACAAAGAGCCCAGAAAAAAAACTTCAAAAGGGATGAAAGGTGAACTTTGAGCTCAAA